GCAAAGATGCTCCACCTGAGGAAAGATGCCAGGATAAATAGGTGGAGAAGAAGGGAGGTGTTGAGGGTTGAGGCGTTAAGGAGGCATTGTGGGTTCTCTATGAGTTGCTGTCAGAGCTGTTGGTTCTCCCAGAGAAGCTTTGGTCCTCACATCGAGCATTGCTTCCTGGCTCCAGAGGGGAAGACATGTGTTACTTGGTCTCCAGGATGATCTCATCAAGTTGCTTCCTGGAAAGTACCTGACTGTGCTTGTTGTCGGAGGAGCTCGGGGCCTCTGTGTTGCTGAGGACAGCTGTGGTGCCTTTCAGGATAGCCCTGGTCTTTGTTGTGAGTGTGACTTCTCGGCTCCAGTGTAGAACCCTCATTCCACTAGCACAGCTCCTTCATCCTGCTGGCATACACTTTCTGGCTTCCACCGCTGACCCTTGGGTCTTCCTGGCACAGATGCATAAAAGAGACTGGTGTGAGTCCTTCTTGTGGGCTCTGGACCTCCAGTTGGACACGTGGAGGCATTGTCCTGAGCTCTGGGTTTTTATCTGGACTCATGTGGGACATTGCTGTGGGGTTAGGCTCTTGACTACATAATCTTATGTCTTTGGTGTTGCAGATAGATTTCCTGCATTTTCCTGTGTTAACTCCCGGTGACCATTATAAAAATATAAACTCCATGTCCTAAACCTAATTGTTCTCTGTGTACAACCCCTGACTACAACAAGCACAAACACTAAAAGTGGCTTAAATGAATACAACCCTGAGGCAGACAACACACTGATTGATCCTGCCCAGCAGAAAATGCAGTAAAAACTTTGTTTTCACATAACAAGAAGTGGATGTGGTGATAGGGTGGTTTTTAGCTCTAACTCACCATCACACCACTTTATCTGGTAGATTCTATACCACAATCCTTGGAAAGAAACTACTCAGCAGAACACCTCAACACAGTTTTTTTCCCCTTTGGAAGGAAAGTGCTGTTTTTTTTTTCCTTTCTTTTTCTCTTTGCAGTATGCTTCTTTTTATTTATTTTTATGTTACTTTTACCTAATTCTATTTACTTTCTTTTATATATTAATTGGATCTTTATTATCACTTTTCTCTCTTCTTTCTCTTCTTTTTCTTTCCTTTTCAAATTTCACTTCAGCCTTATTTTTCTTCCCATTTCTTTTTTATTATTGTTACTATTAAGCTTTATTAATTTTTAGCTATTTAGGTTACTATATAATATTATTGCTGATTTATATTCTGTTGCTAATCATGGCATAATTGTAGCTTTTTAGTAGATATTTACAGTACATTGATTATTTAATTTCTCTAATTTTAGGAACACATTCATGTCTAAACTATTCAGTGATAGGATATCTTGATGGCCAGCCCCACCAAAATTACATGTAATGACACGAGTTGATGGTTCCATATGTTCTTTCACATTTTTGAGCCTCTATGAAATTAGGTGAGACCACAGGATTAATTCAAAACAATGAGCTGTCGGTGAACATGACATAACTAAGCTAAAGTAAAACAAAAAACAAAACAAATAGTATAAGTCCCTTTAGTTCTATTCACCATGTGTTCCAGATGATATAACTAAAGAAGTCATAATATTAATGTATCTCAAATTAAAATTAGGAGAATGAACCCAGAAAAAAAAGGGGGAAAGATGTTGAGGAATTAATAGTTATCTGCTAAATCCAGAGAGACTGTCTGACTTCCCGAAGGAGAGTTGGTTTTTGGCCTTATGCTGTCACAGTACTTTGGTATGAACATTAACCAACAGGTTAAGCAACTGTAATTATTTGACTGAGTGCTCCTGTCTTCCACTTTTTCTTCTACTGAGCTTGACATCAAGAACACAGTGAGAAAATATATCTGATAAATGGGAAAATAAATAAATAAATGAGTAAAGAAGGGAAAAGTAAAAGGCACGTGTGGTAGGTAGTATCTCTGTTACACAGGAGTTCTATGGCTTTCTCCCAGTGTTTTCCCCTTCTGTTTTATTCCCAGTTTGATTAATTCTTTCACAAATAGCAGATCTACTGGTTCAAAGTGGATACGCTACAGCCTGCTGGCCTACCTGAGCTCCAAATTTATTTTAGTGCCTTTCATCCGACCAACATATTAAATGTTTTTATTTGGTTGGAAAATTTAAAATATGTACCACAAGTTACCCAAATATTTGGAGTTGTAACTCTTCTTTAAAAATAGAGCAGCCAGTAACAGTAAGATCTATTCCTTCATAACAATAATGATCTGAAACTGAAGTACTTGTGTTTCCTAAGCACAGACAGGGTTCTTCCACCGTGTCTTTGTAAACTGTTCCACACACACACAGGTTAACTTCCAGGCTCTGGCAGGCCTGACCTTTTAGTATCTACCTGTAAGTGCTTTAGAAAAGTAAGGTATATTTCAAAAGGTCTTTTCTGGAACATCAAGCTAGTGACTGTTCTGTTGATGCAAGAATTCTCTTTTTCAGTTGAGAATTGATCCCTGACTTCACAAATCATGAATAAAGTGCTAAAAACCGCCTGAGTAAAGCGTTTGTTACATATTATTCTGCAATGGTCACTGTCTACTGAAGGTGCAGGCGATTAACTTTTACTTGATGATTTCTTCCATTTTAAGGAAACATTTTTGATTTGGTCTTGATGTAGTTTAAATGCACTGTATGAACTTCCCTTTTTCTGAAAGAGTATAATTTGGTTCATAAATTGCAGATGGTGGATCATACTAAATGAATATCCTCATTGCTCAGAAAATTAATTCTTTTGACAGAATCATTCACTCAAAATGGAGTGAATATTTAACTTTACATATTAAGAGGTTTGAATAAAGTATCAATGCCTTCATTTTCATGTACTGCCTCCCTCAATAATTTCATAGTTCATTTCTTTTTTATTGAAGTTAAGGGTATTTCAGTCATATTTGTAAGCTTCCATTGCCAAACATTTTTCTTTCATTCATTCTCCCTTAATTTTTTATCCCTCCTAGTGTTGTTGTTTCTGGCTCCCTTGAATTTGCTGTCAGGTGGAAAAATGATCATGATCAACAAGCAGAACTGCAACAATTGACTTTAGCCTGTACAGGGTAGTGGTAAAGAGTAGAAAAGTTTAGATCTGGACAGGCCAAGTACACACCCAGGAATGTCCCTCTTCTGCCGTATGACTTTGGGCAACACGATAAAAGCTTGGGGTGAACCTCAGCTTCTTTGCCTATAGGATGGCAATAAGGATGAGTTATTATAAAGAATAAATTAGGGCACTTGGATAGATATAGATATATAGATGTATATGTACATATACCTAGTGCTCAGTCACTATTATTAAGGCAACATTTCTTACAAAATTTATATGCTACTATTAAATTTGCCAAAGTAAGTGGCCTTACGTGTATTCAGATCTTCCAAGTCAACACTTCTCACCACTAATGCCCACAAAATGGAATCCAGTCATTTGGTAGTCCACATTCTTGTCCTGAACTGCTCTTCTAAATTCTCTCTCACTTATTCTAGGCTCACCTGATTTTATATTGTTTTGCCCCTGATTGTGCTGTGTACCCTCCTATCTTTATCCTCTCTATTTACCATTCCTCTCGACACTGGTAATTGTCCTATTTCATATGTTTATCAGGACGTTTCTTGTATCTGAAGATCTAGATTCAATAATATCATCTCTCATGCTCCTTTTCTCAACCAATTGTACAACCCAGTTTTGGAACTGATAATATAGTATTTGTATGTCTTTTTTTGTTTGTTTGTTTTAAAACATAGTTTCTGTTAATAGAAGCAAATAAGGAAGAGATACAAATAATGAGGTCAAAATACATGATTTAACATTCGGTTTAACCATGGTTTAACATATTCTTGGAGCTTAATTGCCTTTAAGAAGGCCTTGGGAGTACGTAGCATGGAGTTTAAAGTGGAGCTACCTGGGGTGATGCGGACAGAGTGAGTTGGATTCTGGGGAAGCTAGAGGAAGTAGTGGAATAAGTTTTCGGCAAGTGGAGGAGGACAATCTGGGCTTCTGGGTACTGTGGTTCATTATGTAATTGTCCTCTGAATAAGTAACAGGTGCTAGCAAACATTTTCACAAAGGTCTAGAGAGTAAAGCTTTTTGAACATAATTTCTATGTTGCAGCACATCGATTTTGCTACATTAGCACAAAACCATCCACATATAGTATGAAACTGGTGGGTATGGCTAGTTTCCAATAAAACTTTGCTTGCATATCTGGAGCAGGCTGGAATGGGGCTTCGCTGTAGCTTGTTAATTTCTGGACCTAGATTCTTTATAAAAAAACTATAGTTTTTTTTTTTTGTGTGTGTGTGTGTGTTGGGGATCGAACTCATGAACTAGCACTTGCCAAGCAAGCACTTATACTGCTGAGCTAAATCCCCGGTCCCTACAAATTATGTATCTTTGAGGGCAGAGATATATCTCTCTCTGCACCTCTAACTACCAGTATAAACCTGATCTATTCTAGATATTTATTGAAGTTATATCCTTATTAAGTGTTTGCAGATTATTTCCAGCATACCGTGTTTCATGTTTAATAAATATCTGTTAATCGACTCTGATGTCTTTCTTCCTGTGCCATGTTTATGTTGACAATTACTATTTTAGTACTTCCTAAACATGCTCCTCATAGATTCTTTTATGAATTTTTCATTAGTTAAAAATAACATAATTTTTAAATTTGAGTTTGATGTTTCTTTTGCTGATTTAATTAACAGAATGAAAAATAAACATTAACAACTTTAAAAAAAGATCATCAACTTATGTACTAATTTATTCCAACTCGCTAGTACTGTACTTGTCTATAATTTTTTGATGACATGAATTTGGTGACATAGCATGAAGTTATTAGTCTCAGAGGTTGGCTGATGTTGGACATGGATGGGGTGAACGGATGAAGAAGGTAGTGATATTGACATGCAGATTGTGTATCCGGTATTCTTCATGCAAATGGTACTATATATATATATATATATATATATATATGTTTTACATTTTGTTTTACAGTAAACCACAGGACTTTGGAGATTTCAGTTGTGGTATGCAGGACTAGATAACCTAAAGGATCATCATGCTATATACAACCAAGATCTTAGATAATGTAAGTGTTGATTCATTGCTAAGCTTTTGGGAATGGTAGTGAAATAAACTCTTAATAAATCACCTGTTTCCACAAGGTCCAGAGAAGTTTTAGAAATAAATGTCAAAATCAGTACTGGGTCAAGAGACTCAGCTGTGCGATACTTCACAATAAGGAGTATTACGGTTCTGATTTCTGAATTAAGCTGTGAACTTGAAAATGTTAATGTGGTCCTGTATAAGACTACAAATCTTTTCTAGGAGAATAATGCCACATGTATACTTCTGGTAGTCCTCATGGTAAAAAGTAAATCACTGAAATAAAGTAAAATAACACACTAAGGGTCAGAATCAGCACTATTAAGATCTAATTCGGCATGGAAGAGTTGAGATACTGAGATTCAAACATAAAATATAAATAAATAAAAATGGAATAAAAAACCCAAAACTTTCAAGAATGACTAAGCAAATTAAATTTTTAAAACTATAAAATGTATCTTGAAAATGAAACTCAGTGGGTGAATTATACAATCACATACTGTTGAAGTGAGAACCAGGAATGAAAAGATAAATTCAAAGAAAATACTCCAATACAGTTAGTGAGAATTTAAGATACATGCAGAGTGGGAATGAAGAGGGCCAGCATCTCACTAATCAAAGTCCCAGAAAAACACATCAGTGTTAATTGTAGAAAAAAAAAATGGCCTGGGCTTTTTCTGCAGCTTCTGAAAGACATGTGCTCACCCATATTGTAAAAATCACATATTAGATGCATAGGTAACAACCTTAGAACTTTAATGAACAGAAGACTCAAAGTAAAAGAAAAGGCCTTGAGGGAAACTCCAGAAAAGAACAGATGAAGAGACTGCAGGTTACACTGATGGCAGAAGTGTCTGCAGCAATGAAGGAAGCAAGAAGGTACAATATATTCATATCTGAGAGAAAAGAGCAGTGAAACCCAAGTTGTGAACTGCAAAGCATTATTTTAAGAAAAAGACAAAATAAAAACATTTATTCTCTGAGAAGGTAGACCTAAAAGTGTAATTCTTTAAATCCAGTAACTCCATTTTCACCTGAACTTTTCTTTGTTGGATGTTTTAATTTTCATACACAATCTTTAAAGTAAATATCCAATTTTCATTTTTTTTTCTTGTGCAACAACAATATAACTGTTTCTAAGAATTTAAAATTTCAGCTAAGTCTTCCTATTTATTAGCACATAGCTGTTCAAAAATACTCAGTTTTTATCTTTTGGAGCATTTAGTAGTGTTACTTTTTCAGCTATGATATTATTTGTGCTTTCTCTCCTTTTCTTGCTTATATTTTGTATCAGTCAGTACTCACCACAGAAGCAAATATATATATATATATATATATATATATATATATATATATATATGTGAGTTTACAAGGTAGGTTCTAATGGCTGCCTCTAGAGCCAGGAGTGGAAGAATGCAAAAGAGTTCTTTGAGTATTGGAGGTCCAAAGGATCCAGTTCAATCTGTGGGGAGCCACTGTGTGGCGCGCCCAAGGTAAGCTGCTGAACAAACTGCTCCAATTCCAAGAAGGCAAGGCACTCCAAGGCAAGCTAAGGAATCAAGTTGCTACACAGAAGCTAACAGTAGCCTCCTGAGTGTATAAATAAGGCTGCTGCGGTTGTTGAGCAGTTCCTTTTCTCCCATTCCGAGAGCGGGCTCCATCTGACCTGTTCTCTGCGTTCTGACATTCATCTTTATTTCTTCATCCTCCACTGCCCTTCTCTGCAGGAATTTCAAGAGCTGCCCCGGATGCTGAACCAGTCAAAAGGGAAGGCCTGGAGCTCACTGTAGAGTCCCTGGTGAACACCTATCAGGAAGCTGAGAGGTCTGCACCACAAGGCTGAAGAGTGCACTGCAAACCTTGAGGTGGACATACAAGGTGATAGAGAAGCAGAAGCTTCTCTGAAGAAACAGAAGTAAGCCTCCTGTCTTTCCCATTTATATCTTCTTTAGGCTACAAGCTTATTAGTTATTGGAGCACTCAAACCAGGATGAATTTCATATTTAGCAAAACCTTTATCTGCAGCCAAAATTACAAGCCAATTAGTCTGGTATTTCTTAATCAAGCTGACCCAACGGTTTAACTATGGCATAGTTGTTAAAGCTTTACTGACTTTTGTTTAAATGCCTATTTGGGCTTTTGACTTCTCTGTCTTATTTTTTCTGTTGAATTACTTTCTGTTCTTAGCTTTATTCTTTGTCCAACGTTTTTAAAGGAGTTATTCTTTTCCTAAATTGCTAAAATGGATACTCAGGATAGATCATCCATTTTCCTGAACTTTTTAACACATGTGAGTTAGCTTGGTCATTCTCCCTCCAAGTATATCCCCAGACCAACAGCATTAGTATCACCCAGGAAGTTTTTAGGCAATTTCTTAAGTCCAATCTCAGATCAATCAAAACCATCATTCTGAGGAATGAGTCAATTTGAGTTCTGTTTGAAATTAATAACTGAAAATTGTTGATAACAGCCAATTAGATTAAAAATATATTTATGTTAGATCTAGGATAAAAACTATCTATGCAGGTGAAATAATTATTTTTCTGTCAGAAAAAATTGTTATTGAATATATGCTGAACTGAATTCTATAAGAAATTTAGAGAAGATTTGACACTAATCCTCCTCCAATTTTTTAATGACTTGAAATTGAATTTTTCCTCATACCTGGAGGCAAGTGTTACACTGATACCAAAACCAGAAAAAAAGATAACTACAGGCCAATCTCCCTGATGAACATAGGTGCAAAAATCCTCAATAAGACACTAGCCAAAAATATACAGCAAATTGTCAAGAAGACCAAGTGGGATTAATCCCAGGAATCCAGGGATGGTTCAACAAATGCAAATTAATAAATGTAATGCACCATCTGAATAGGGCTGAAGACAAAGATCACATGATCATCTCAAAAGATGCAGAAAAAGCTTTTGACAAAGTCTGAGACTCATTCATAATAAAAGTCCTACAAAACATTGGAAGCGATGGTGTTTACCTCAATATAATAAAAGCCATCTATGAAAAACCAACAGTCAATAGCATACTGAAGGGTCAAAAACTGAAAGCTTTCCCTCTAAAGTCATCACTTCTATTCAACATAGTGCTGGAAACATGAGCCAGAGGATTAGACAAGAGAGAGAAATATAAGGAATAAGGATAGGAAAGGGAAAATTACCATTATTACAGATGACGTGATACTCTACATGGAAGACGACCAAAACTCCACCAAAAGACTTCTAGAATTAATAAGGAAATTCAGTAGCATAGCTGGATACAAAGTTAACACTCAAAAATCAATAGCATTCCTATACACAAACAACAAGCTCACTGAGAGAGAAATTAGGGAACTAACACCTTTCACAATAGCATCCATAAAAGTTAAATACTTGGGAATCAGTCTAACAAAGGAAGCTAAAGAGCAATACATTGAAAATTATAGTATTCTGAAAAAAGCTAAGATAATTATACAATTAATTTCTGTTAGCTCACTAGAAAGAACAATTTGTACTTACATTGTTTGATCAGTTTTGCGGACCTATATCTTGTAATCTGGCAACTACTTTGAAGATAGCAATATATGCAATATAATAATCATTGTTAATTTCCTATTATCTTGTTTTGAAATTCTGTATCATTGTTTTTATTGTTTTCCCCTCTTTAAATTAAAAAAATAAAAAGATTCATAAATCAAGTTTTTGTATGATTATAATATACCCTATTTTCTTATATCAGATAATCTTCCTGAATAATAAAAAATGTATTTTCTTAGCTTTTTTCAGAATACTGTAATTTTCAATGTATTGCTTTTTAGCTTCCTTTGTTAGATTGATTTCAAATGATATCAAAGGCATTTTCTACATGATAATTAAACATTAGTTTCCTTAAGGCTAATATTCAAAGAAGACTTTTTAGCTCTTTTATAAAATTAGTAAAGAAATAATTTTGACTGAAGAGTAACAAAAGAAAAAAGCTCACAGTAACACTCGTTCCAAACAGATGGTTTCAAATAGTTGGAATGCTAGTCTGTGCATGGTTCACTAGTTCCTGAAATAACACGTTAAGTCCGTAAATACTTTTGAAAAAGCAAATATACAAATCAGATGCAATAATGCACTTCTCTTACGTTTGGTATGGATATTGTCTCATTTTTAAAAGAAATGTCCACGATCAAGAACACATTGTGTGCTAACTATTGCTAGATATAACTTACAATTTTTGTGAAGAGAATAATATGCTAGAGTAGCAGTAGTGCTAGATAAAGACAAAACATTTTGATCATTTGAATTTTAAAGAAGAGTATCAATGAAAGAAAATTATAGGTAGAATCTCAATGTCTTATTAAAGTCCAGACCCCCAAAAATTGCAATTCATTTATCACTAGTATGTAAATCAAAGAAAAACATTAACTTGTTCATCAAGTTATACTTTAATCACCAGAGATGTTCAGTGAGATGATTTTATCATTATGTCTAAATTGACAACATGTGAATGTTTTACTGGAAAATTAAGTAGAGTTTATACTTTCATAAGGAAAAAATATCTGGTCAATATTTTTAGTATAAGAAGTAAGTTTTATTTTTTTAATAAAAGTAAACCAAAAGAAGTATTTTAAATCTGTAATCAAAATTTCACTTAAAGTAATTCTAAGATATTTAAAGGGGATAAACAATGAAAGAGAGCAAGTAAAAAAAAATCACTATGAACTAGGAAATGGTAACACATTTTGAATTTATGCAAAAATATGAAAATATAAGTTCCACATATTATTGATTACTAAGATTATTGAAATTAAAATCCCATTGTAGGAATTATGTAATATTTTGCATTCAAAAAGGAAAACATTATAATTTCTATATACTAATAGTTGAATTTCTGTGTGTGAATGACATGACTACTTTTTTACTGGAGGTTCTGTACATGTTTATAGTAACATATATTTAATACATTTTACCAAATGTGTTAATGTTGTTTTACTGTTAATGCGTATTTTTTTGAAAAGAGAGATATATCAGATACCTGCTCATTTGTGCATGTTAAAGAGATATAAATAGAAATTTATTATTCCTTTTTTTCATTAATAATTAATGACATAATTTTATAGTATACACATTAGGTTTTGCTAGTGCTCTATAGAATGAAGACATATTTAGATAAGTGCTAATACTACTAACATGGCATATCCCTTTTACTTAGCTCATAAATCCATTCTCTCTAAAGCGCACCTACAGGAGAAGAATTAAATTATTGTATCAACAATAATTATTTTCTAGGATGGGATTATTTCTAAAGTTAAGAACACAAGCCAGCATAGTAATTGTGAAGCACATTAGATATTCAAGTATTAGGTTTCAGAAGGGCTAGTAGTCTGCTTCCCAAAAGTCTAGGCGAAGCTTGACAATGGCAGAAAACAAATAAAAAGGAAAATAAACCAGGAATTTTAAACAGAATAAAAACCAAGCACATAGAGATGAGATGTTAAGAAAAGTAAAGGAATGTAAATAATAACTTTGTTGGACTGAAGTGTTTTATTGATACTCTTCTGGTTCTTTCCCCAAGTCACAGGTGGATGAATGTATGGTGGCGAGCAGTTCCTGAACCTGAGAGGTGCTTGTGCACAGCCACAGCTTTTACACGCCAATAGAGACATTTTTTGCCAGGTACATGTTCTTGGGGGATATCATACTCTATGTTACTTTCAAAGTCTACCACAATCTATGCCATTGATTTTTCCAAGATGGAAAACTATTATCAACAATATGATTTCTAAAAAAGGAGCCTGAGACTTGGGACTTCAAAAAAAATCTTAAAATGTGAAACAGTACAAGACACTAAATCTGCCATTTGTATGTCCTTTTTTGAAGCCGGGCCTTTTGCCCTGAGCTGTATCTGTAGCCCTTCTGTTTTATTTGAGACTGGGTCCCCTCTGAGTAGGTGTGTTGAATAGTCTGGGCTTAAACTTGCAGTCATGCCTCCGTCTCCCAGAGCGCTGGAATTCTAAGTGTGCACAATTATGCCTGGATCAGGCCTATTTCTTTTTAATCCAGACCTGTGATTTATTTTATTTCTTCTTTTTAAAAAAATTTCACTTAAAGTAATTCCAAGATATTTAAAGGGGATAAACAATGGACGAGAGCAAATAAAAAAATTACAATGAATTAGGAAATGGTAACACATTTGGAATTTATGCAAAATTCATTTATTTATAAACATATATAAGATGCAAAATTCATTTATTTATAAATGAATTTATTTATAAAGATATATAAGATGTAGAATTCTAAAAATTCATTTCTTTGTGGAAAGATGACTCAACTTGGCATCAGGATAATTTTTTTCTATTTTTGGGCTGGTTCTTCAAGTTTCAGTCCTTTAGATTTCTTACCTTATAAAACTGGAATAAGGAAATGAGGAAATATATGTATGAAAAATTACCTTAGGAACTCTTAAATGGATACAAAAATAAAACATGATCACGTTATGTTAAACTGTCCTTATAGTCAGGTATTGTTTTTAAATATTTTTTAAAATATTGTTTTAAAGGATTCCTAATTGATAATATACCATTATTATAAAGCTATCTTCTCAGCTATATCATAAGACATTTCTCTCATTTTCATGGATTTACTTTTGATGCTTATCAATTTTAGAAAGTGAGGAGAAAAAATAAAATCATTCATTTTCATTTTTCATTAATAAATGCTATTTTTCCCATAAGCACAATCAATTTAATCTCTGCAGTTCTAGAGGTTGCAATTTCCAAAATCAAGGCACCAAGAGACTCAGTGTCCGGTGAAGGCTCATGCTCTGGATTTCAGGTGGCACCTTCTTGCTGTGTTCTTCCTTACATGATGGAAGGACAACAAATTCTAAAACAGCAGCTTAATTTATATCCACTTAAATCTTTTTTATGCTTGGAGACTTACTCAAAATGCTAATGACACAGCTATGACTATGGTACGGTTCTTACTCCATGGACTTCATAGTCATGGAAAACAAACCTATTAGCATGATAACCACCAAAAATCACAATAGAGACACAGCCTAGTAGGTTGTGTTTAACTTAGGGTAATGATAGTAGGTCACAAAAGGTCAGTTCATGATGTGAAGTATTATCCTACTGTGTGTTTACTCCTTGCAGGGTCTAGCATCTGTAATGCATTTGTGCACAGCAGGTGGGAAAATGAGGATAGGATACTCGAAGAGGAATTTTGTTTCTGATAATTAACATGCAAACTATCTTATCTAACCATTCATCACTGAGTGTATTTTATGTCAACTATCTATATCTAGTTTACATGTACTCTTTTCAATCTTAAGAGTCTATAAATATGAGAATAACTGAATCATTACTTATCAGACAATATATAGCAAGACTTTCAATTTTAGATTGATTAGGGTATAAAAGTTATGCATATTCTCATAACTTTTATTGGTATATGTTTGTAGTACAGAATGTTTATATTCTATGTGAGGAATTAGTACATGTATTTATCTTAATTCCTCTTATTCAGTCCCCTTCCCTTTTCTCTCTCTTGATTAACCCCTCACATTTTTGTACATGTGTGTTTTTGGACAACAAGTCACTCTGATAAAAGAAAATAAATAATTTAGGAGATACATTTTATCCCAATTTTGTTTTACTAAAATAATATTGATTTTATGAGCATTACTTTGCATATTGTATTAAATGTTAATCAAGTATTTTGATATGTGAAAAAATAGGCACTGATAAAAACATTTTAGTTCATGGCAAATATAAACAATAAAAAAACAGCAAGTACAAAGATAAAATAATATTTTATGTAAGCAAAAATGCTGTTTCTTATCATGTTATGACATTAAGAAAGAAAAAATGTTTTGATTTAAAAATCTGTCAGCTATCATGTAATTTAATATGTAGTGACATATACTGCTAAAAGGTATATATTAACATTAAAGGCCCAAACTCCAATGATTAATATTATAGTGATGACAGAAGGAGAATGCCTAATTTTAATCCACTGTTTATCTATGGGGGTAATTTATGGATCACTCGACATGTTTTAATAGTAGACATAAAAAGATATCCTCTAATACCCACTTGCTTTCAAGATCTGACATTTGTAATTACAAATACAAAGAAATACCAAAGGTTGCCTTGATTGGATATGTATACAAATAGCCAGTCATCCTATGCACAGTTTATAAAAGTGATCTATTAATAACAAAACTGCTCCAAAGACCCATGGTCTCTTAATATTCCAGCTGAATATCAAGGGTTGACTTAAAATGAGGGCAGAAACACAAAGAGTGGTCAACACATTGATTTGCCTGCCAAATATAGTTTTACCATCATAAATCTCAGGCTGACAACTGCATAAAGCTTTCTTCACCCAAACACTGCCAAGTAAGGGCGTTTATTCACTGATTGGCTGATAGTCTCCATGACAACTGATGCCACAATTAGACAAGTACAATCCCACTTTCAAATACACACACAATTTATTAATTCAGCAAGACTTTGTTGACGATAGATTATGAGAGAAATACTATTTTGAGACTAATGTATTTGCTTCTTATCTAGAGTAAAACAAATAAGAAATGATGAAAACAACCATTTAATTAGATTAAAATAAGTTTGACAAGCAACTCTGAATTTAAGTGTTTTTAATAATTTTATAGATGTTTCATTCTGTAAACTCAATGACTATTGAGTTAATCTTCAAGTTATTTTCCTATGGGCCCTTTTTAAAAGGGTCGGAAGGAATGTGACTCCAATTTTCTACACACTAAAAAGATAACAACAAATATTTCTTTGGCACTTGAGAGAAAGTAATTTTACTCAATGTTGAATGATTGTATTAAATTTAATAGATATTCATTTGTGGAGACCCTAATGAAAATTGCAAAAGGAGTCATTTCATTTGCTTATTCTTTGTCTACAAAGGAGCTACATTATGGGAGATGTTTCTTAAGAAAGAAGGACCATATAAATCCAGAATCTAAGCACTAATAAAGCAGAGTTTAATGAAGAGTCTAACAAAAATAAAATTGTATTTGTGAACTTCTATTCAATTTCAATATGCCAGTCTTATCAAATAACTAACTGTAATGTTGACCTTCCTAAATTCTCAATATTCTCCTATCATTTGAGCTCCAAGGAATGCATGAAATGATATTAATGAAGCTAAACCTTATATATACACGTCTGTGTTTCCATTTTTTTATGTTTATAAAAATACCCAGCACATTGTAACAATATATGTTTTACTTCCTGCTAATTGGTTATTTTTCAAAGTCAGGATGCTAAAGTAGGATGTTTAATATGTATAATATAATGTTTCTATATACGTACATATATGTGTTGTGTTGATTCACTCTTCTGTTGCTGGGACAAAACACTCAGCACCCCTAACTTAAAGAAGTAAATATGGGCTCATAGTTTGAGAGGTTTCAGTCCATGCTCATGACTCCAAGGCAGAAACAGAAGGTTTTGGGAGAAGAAAGCTATTCACAGCTAGGACATAGAGCAGGTTGAAAAGAGCCAGAAAGGAAGGGCCCAAGGATCCAGTGTTTCCCAAGGTGATGTCCCTATGTATCGCTTTCTCTAACTAGACCCTACCTCCCTGTAGCCTATTAAACTGTGAATTCATCAATGAATTAGCCCATTGAGGAGGTTAATGATCTCACAATCCAGTCACCTCTCCAGGAGTCTCTTAATCCAGCCAGGTTGGTAATCAAGATTAAGCACCACACATGTGTTGTATAAATCATCACTTATATGTATGACAATATATATCACATGCGTGCAAAACAGGCAAAAATTAGGATTCACACTAAAATATTCATAGTTGCTTATTTTTGGGCAGTGGTAATGGAACTGTAGATAATTATTTTTTGTCTTCTTTAATATGTATTGTTTTTACTGAGAATGATATAATTGGTATCCTAAGAAGAGTTACAATTCTATAATCAATAAAAATGAGTGAGAGGAAGGGACTGATGGGAAAGGTTGATTCATGGCAGTAAGTTATAGTTAGTTAAGATGAAGAAGAACCAATGTGCTAGTATATACAGTAGTAGGATACACATAGATAGACACTGTGCTGTATATTTTAAAAAAACTAGAAGAAAAAAGTTTGGAAGCTTGAACCATAGAGAAATGATAAGCATTTGATGAGACACATAAGTTTAACCCAATTTACACATTACACAATGTGCATTGTATGATCACACATACATACACATGCTTTTTGTCCTATGTATTAGTAGAAACATAAATTTTAACTTTTAAAAGTGCACAAAGACATGGTGGAAGGCTTGGGCCGTGGATGCCTGAGGGTGTACTTTAGCACTGCTCAAGTCATCAGGATGCAGGTGAGGAAAGAAAAATAAGTGTATTTAGGACAGGGGAAAATAACAGAACTAAAAGTCTGTTACCATTTTACATCAGTAGTTAGCAACCAGGAAGGGACACTGACCCAGACCATATTGTCGATTGTAACTGTTTTTCCTGTTTTTCTTTTACCTCAAAGCATTGTAACCATTTCACCATCTTCTGACCTTCCAAGGATTACATGGGTTTTGGAGCTCAATCAAGTGGAATAATTCTGAGTCAGGTGAAAATAACAGAAATGTGAAAAACATCCACTTTTTTACTTCACTTTTCAAGTTATTGTCAACTTTTTAGCTAACATAAGAATTAATCAACAGTAATAAAAACAGCCAATCACAGCACATGGTTTCACTGGAAACATCACATTCATTGTTTTAAGATGTATCCTAAATTCCAAATAAAATCTCACACAGTCATCCATTTTATAACTATAGACAAGTAATGGAAAATCTGAGAAATTTATTTAATATTTTGCTTGCCACAGTAACATGACTTTGGATATCTGAAATATACAAAAAATATACAGAAGTAATAAGCACCATGAAGATATATTTAATAGTTTTGAAATACAAAATCTAAGGAGCTTTAGAGGAACATCAATTTTCAATTCTTGTTTCTGTTTAAATCAATCTAGTATTTAGTTATTTTAAAAGATCCTGTAGGATCAGGGATATAGTTCAGTTGCACAGTGCCTGCCTGGCAAGTGTAAGATACTGAGTTTAATTCCCATTACCAAAAACAAAACAAAACAAAAACTGTAACTAATTAATTAAATTTAATTTAAAATAGTCTTATAAATGAAATATACTAAAAAAGGAACTAACAATAAAAATCAATGAATGAAATGTTTTTCTCCCTTTCTACATTAATGCTTCCTGTAAGGCACCAACAGTGATGGAAAGAAGCATAACAGTCTTTGTCTTCGAGGTCATTACAATTTAATGAGGAAATAAAATATATAAGTATGAAAAGCCACAATCCATTGGATGGACAATATAGATGATGTTTGTATAGGCATTCAGACTAATGGTCTACCTGTTTATGGATATGCATGTATTTACATTATCATGTTTGGTAGCATTTAAAGACTATATTATTTGATCCATATATTGCCTGGACACTTAGTTTTTTAAAAGAATATCTTCCTAAATTAAATTTATTGTCAATGAAAAACAGTTACTTGAAAACTACTTGAAGTAGGACAACAATAATTAAAAACTTGAACCATTCCTCTTCAGAAATGGTACTGTTTAAATAGGCCAACTTTAGAAACAATCCCAGAATGCAAAATATTCTATCTTATTCTTTGACTCTGGGTACAACCCAGAAGCTCATTTTAAAAAGTTGGCTCAGCCTTTAATGAGGTTGTATAAATTAACACCCATATTTACCATCATTTTAACATGCCTGTTTCCTAAGAATATCTCACATCAATTTCCCAATAGCTGGAAGGGCTCCCATTATTATGAAAGTCATTTCTATTGCTTTATAATACTGTAGAATTCTCTTTGTTTGTCTAATTTGTCCTTTACCTAATAGTTGGTCTCTTACTTAATTAAAGTTTACTGGAAGAATCAGTCCACGGGATCGTAAATGATTATGAAGATGAAATCCAAACTACGTCTTCTGAAATGACATGTTCAATTTATCTATAGGCCACTGGTGAAGTGCCTGGAATCAGTGGATTATGGTGTCTAAAATAGATGTTATCTTTTGTCCAACAACTCATCTAAATTTCTTTGGGAAAAAAAATAAATCCCTGTTTTGGCCTGGATTCTTCCCAGAAGGCAGAACATGAGATAAGAGTCTGAATGAAGTAAGCTCTCAGGAAGAAGGGAGGGAGTTAGGGAACAGAAACAAAGTAGAAAGGAAGGGAAGATCTCTTAAGGGTGTGTTCCTAAATTGGTTACCTGCACTGAAGGCAGTAAATGCACAGAGAACATGTCTCAGAAAGTTTGCCTCAGGGGCACACGAGAACACCATCCCTTGGCTCCCACATCCCATGGATCAAGAGTGGCTCCACTGGATATGAACATGGTTGCATGGTCAGGTTTTATGGCAGGAATTTTCCTAACAATATTTCCTCCCAAGGTACCACAAAAACCTCAGAGGTAAAGGAGGGAGATTGATGCAGGCAAAGTAGTCTCAAATTGTAAGTGAATGAAATTAGCTACTTCCGTCATCACTGTTGTAAAAGAAGAGGTGAGATGGGGGATGAGGAGACACACAGTAGATCGTGATGCCACCCTTCATTCCTTCACCAAATCTGGCTTTGGAATGGGCATGCGGCCCACAGCACTCTCTTCCAGGTGGACCTGTTTATTCTATCCACAAAGGTACATGACCAGTTGGATAAACCCTACTTGGACTACTAAGGTGGGGAACAGAGAGACTTGGGTTTCCAGTGGCTTTCTTATGTGACCATAAATATTTGGCTTTGTGATGCAGGCAAGCAACAACAGACACAAGCAGAACTATGACATCCCAGTTCCTATAGCCCCGCCTTTGATATTTAGAGCTGCTCTTACTGCATTCTTGCCATGAGAACCAACACATTCCAACTGCAAATCTGTTGCATGTTTAAATTAAATTGGGTTGGTTTTTGGATGCTTTCAATGGAGTAGTCACCAGAAGAGACCGGGGATGATATAGGAGATATTTCTCTCTCTCTCTCTCTCTCTCTATCTCTCTCTCTCTCTCTCTCTCTCTCTCTCTCACAAATGTGGGTCTTTACTATTTTATTATTGAAAAATTTCCTGCACACTACCATCATCCTTTCCATCTCCATTTCCCAGGGCCAACTTTCAGTTTTTCCAAGTTATTTTTTAAATTTACCTCCATGTTTTAAAGAATATGCACATGCTTTAATTCTTGATCTATCATTTCAAGCTCATGGTAATTCACCGATATTCTGTGATCTTTTGCTGTGACTTGACATTTTTCTCTCTGGAAGATTTTATGTTCCTCCCTTTGAACCCTGGGTTCTGAGATTTCCTGTTCATTTACTTTAGTGTGGTTCTATTGCATCCATTGTCCTGAATGGTGAATAAGTCTTTGAAATTCGGAATCTCTAACTTAAATCTCATGCTCTTTATTTCTTTAGAGGGAATTAGAAACTGAAGTTTTTGGAAAGTTCCTCCTCATAGTCCAGCTTTCTGTCTTTTAAAAATTTTGTACTAATTCTGAGAAATTTTCACAATTCTGTTAACCAAGTCCTTCTAAGATTTTATTTCTCCTACATTATTTTTAATAACTAAGAGCTTTTTTTTTCAGTTATTTCAACATCTCTTCTGGTTTCATGGATTCAATTTTAGCTCTTATCTTGGATACAAATGATAAAAAATTTAAAAATAAACTTATACACCCTCTCAGTAGTTTACTTTTTCCTACTTATATGTTTAGTTTACTGAACTTCGTCTTGGAGCATTTGCAAAATAGCTGGCAGGCTTTGTTTGCTTGCTCATATTTAAACCTGAGAGACTGAAGAGGTGAAGGGAAGTTGTGTGTATATGACATCATCTACCAACACTGCATCTCATGGTACGGTGCAACAGTAAGGATGGCCCCTTGGGGAAACACCAGGCAGTGTCTTAGGTTCCTACTCGTAAGCCGATCAAATACACTGAAGAAGAATCTGTCTGCAAGTCATGAGGTGTACAACTGAGTGTTCACTTTCTTCTGGTGGGGGAGGGGTATGATGATCTCAACATTCTCCATTATACAGATCTTTATTTGATTTCTGTGTTTTTTGGGGAATCTCAAGTTATATATGGCTTCAAACATTCAGGCCTTCTCTTAATTACAAAAGTGGAACATATTTCTCTTTCCAATGTTAGAAAAGAGGCAGATGAACTTCATAGCAACCAGGAGCTGTTCTGGAGTCTGTGTTCTGTACTGTGGTCTGATCACAGTATGTGTGAGGTTAGGGGTCATAGCTATGACCATGCTGGGTATGTCTGATTTATTCTTTGGTGTGAATATTTAGATGGTGATAGATGTGCGCGTTCATTCCAAGAAAGATACTACCAGGCTTCTGTTGATTTTCATGAGCCTCTAATGTTTGGCAGTCTGTTTTGCCTAATTTCTCTTTCTTACAACCAAGAATTCTGACACAAGTGCTACTCCTTAAGCGGTATGGTGCCTAATGACAGTATCTAGAATGCCTAAGTTCTGTTCATGTAATCACTATATGGCGTTTACACAGTTCCATTTCACCACAACACAAGGGCCATTTATTAGTTAAAAAATTATGGGATCCTTATGTATACTGAGTTAACAATAAAGATGCACAGTATTAATTAGGAGTAAAATATCTGTGATAGCATCTTCTGAAATTTATACAAACTTTATTTAGTCAGAAGACCTAAAAAAGGAATTTAAATCCAAAATTTCTCTTAAGGTTACATAATCAAAACATTGTATTTATTTATTGCAGATATTTTTTATGACCTTTCCTTCCCTAAATCAGCAATTTAGAGGGAATGCCTACATTTTTACAGTTTTTCCCAATAAAGCAAGAGAAAAAATGCTTCACTTTGAACTCACACTCAAGAGCCTACTTAATTTGTTCACAATGTGTTAAGAAACACTTCCTCAAAAATTCTGCCCATTCTCTGTACACATTCTATATTACATATCTTTTTGTTCACTTTATATTTAAGCCCACAAGTGTTGAAGGTTAGCATTTTCTGAGGTAACAACCAGAAAAATAGCCCTTTGGCTCATAGTTTCTCATACGAAACAAGTATTCTGGCTCAGAACTGGCATTACACCCGATGTAAGGTGTAATACCAGTTGTTTTTCCTATGCTCATCCGCCACTATACAGAGCAAGAGAAGGCATTAACTAGTAAGCCCTACTTTACTTTGTTAAATTTTTCTTCAATTGGACCTCACACAAATTCTAGTTTTGGCTGAAACTCTCTGATTCAGCAGCAACAAAACACAACCAACCAAAGGCCTCTTCTGCTTGCTAACTGTGCTACCCGGATAGTTACTGATTTCCTGTCAGCCTCATGTGTTTCATCTTTTAAAATAGGGAAATAATACTTGTTTTTCCTTCCTCAAAAGATTGTTGTGAAACTCCAGTGAGGGAATTGTGTACGTGACAGCATTTTATAAGTAGAAAACTATCTTTTTCATAAGGCTGATATTCAGAGAGGCATAGACAATATTTTTCTGTTTAAGGCCAACCTTGTCTGTTAACAATTCACTGATTTCCACAAAAGCAAATGTAACATGAAAAAATGTTCATGCTTACCAAGAATAAAATAAATGTACTTTCAAACAACACAGAGATACCATTGTTTACTTATTAATAGCAATGTTTAGAAAATAAGGTTATCTGGTAGCAGTGAGACTGGGTTGAAATGGACTCATTTAAGGCAAGTAAGACGGTAATAATAGTTTTGTCAAATAATTTGACAATACACTGCTGTCGTGTATTCAAACATTTCATACCTTTTTCCCACTCATTTAATTTACAAGAATCACTGTAAATGTTTCGCAGTGTGATTATTTGTAATAGTCCAAAAATGGAAACAAACTAAATGGCTAAAAATGAGAGAATGGTCCAACGAATTTTATTATGTTGACACTTTGGAAATGCACACAATGATGCCACTAAACTATTCTTTTAGAAATTTTCAACAAGCTGGGGAAGTGGTCTAGATACACGTTTTATAATATATATTAAATATAGTACATATATGAATATATATATATATGTTATCAATTAACAGAAGAGAACAGGATATTACATCTGTGTGTGGTATATATTTTAGGTGTGCCAAAAATAATCTTACTCAGAACTAGTATAACAAAAAATATGAATGGAGGTTGTCTCTGGATATTGGCATTATTGGAACTTTATTTTCTACTTCCCTATACTTTTTAGAATTTCTACATTAGGTATGTATTCGTGTGTTTGTATGTGGTCAAAATTTAGAAATGCTTTTCAGGGTCATGATATATAGTCAGAGTAAGAGGAAATATCCTCTTTATGTCTTAAATTTTTAACTTAAGGAAAGCAATGATAAAGACTCTTTGGGATATAGACATATCCAGTTCTTGCACACAATTGGCTTTATTCCTGACTGCCCATTACTCTACATACTCCAAGAGCACGCAGAATTTTTATGCTGGCACTCAGTTCTGTGACAATCTGAACAATCTTGCTTTCATGGAAGTCTTGGGAAATGTCGTGCTTCTTTAAAAGTGCGTCTGGAAAAGTTCCTAGTTTATACATCTTTGCATCTGATTTCTATGACAGAGAGTACAGTCTAACAGCAAGCTACTCAGGCAGCTCTCAGCTTGTCTCCCCATGGGAAGAGGTCTACCTATGAGACATGGGTGTTTTTAAGAGATAACACCATTATAGTTCGATCCCTTAATGCAAGTTTTCCCTTTTAGTCCTACTATACCACTCCTCAGGGGACAACACTCGCTGGCTACCCCAACTGACAAGACATTACAGGCAGAGAAAAGAGAAAGTGAGACAGAGACAGAGACAGAAGGAAAGCAGGCACAGAAAAAGCCTTTTATCTAGTTGTGACATATGTAAACTAGTACTCCAGAATAAATGCTTCATGATATTCATTGTTTGATATTCACACAATTTTGCTAAATTCAGTGCTATGTGTTTTATTTTTCTACTTTAGGATTTAAGTGGAGTAGAAATGTGTCAGCATGTCTTCCAAAAATATACAGATTACATTTAAATTATTTTATGGTCTATTTTGTAGAAAATACACATTCAAAAAAAAAAAAAAACAGTGGTACATTCATTACAGTAGAAATCTCTCCAAGAAATCAGTTTAAATAGTGAAATACTTATAAGCGGTTCATTAAGAACTGAGACTTTAGGCTTAATATTAGTAACCATTAACAGTTCCACACATCTCTCCACGCTGGAACAGGAACCACATCAGCAAAGTGGATACCAGATCTCTTTTTCGTTTTGAAGGTTAAATATTTCCATGATTTTTTCCAACCAAGAATTGGTGGTGCCAAAAGAGCAGGATCATGTCCCTCAGCTCTGAGAGAGCAAAGACTAAAAATGTGACTGAGTTAGGAAGCAGTGACAAAGCTGGGGGAGCTGCAAGGACAAAGAATTTCCATTTTGGGTGAACAATGGCAGATCAGTAGAAAGGAGGTTCTTTGAGGAAATGCCAGTAGGAAAATTAGGTCACATGAAATGCACGTGATAAAGCAAAATAAGACAAATGAAGCCAGTAACACGGGACTGTCTGATTTTTAGTTTTAAGAAAGGAGAAATAAGAAATGTGCAATTCACATATCTAAATGTTGGCTGGAGTAAAAATTAGATGATGGAGGTGGTAGAGTAAGAAATTAGGTATATTTTCTAAGTGAATTTAAAATGCAAAATAGAAAAAAAGATGCACTACAGTATTAAATTCTGGTCCAAATGTAGGGATTGTAGGAAATTGTAAGCCATATCATGGAGCTTCTAACCTAAAGATGGAAATTTAAGTATAGTTCACAGCATTAAAGACACCACTACAAAAGAGTATCCATAATATACTGTGGAATAATAAAACATATTTGCAATACAAAACATATTCAATGATGCCATCTTGTAAAGAACTGTAAGTTATGTAATTATGGGGGATGCAGAGAAAATTATAAGAATTCCAATGAGAATGAATAATATCTCTATGGGTCCTTCATTTGCTTTTTCTCCAAAATAGATCACTTTATATTATTAAATTTCATTAATTCTAAAATATATTTTCCTACATTTCTGAAAATTAGGATTAGCATTAAATTATGGTTCACACGTGGCATATAAAATAGTGGTGTATTATATAATCAAGGCATCCAAGAGTCAACAAAATATAATTCTAAAACTTCTAAAGGAAAAACATAGAGAATTTATGTAACTCCACTTCTCTGACATTCGATGCCCATAGAAAATAATTTGGTACTTACACTTCTCAGCCTTGATCTAGTTATAAGAAACACGAAAAATATTCAGAAAGAAAGTGAAAATTCAGTTTTCCTGTTAGCTGACTATGAATCATGATGCCAAGCTTACACTAGAAAGCATCTGAATTATTTCATTTTTCATTTTCATGGCTGAGGCATCAAACATCAGAAACCAAAATCTTGAGGTGATCCACACTCAATCTCAGCAGAGATATTAGAATATTTAAAAATTCTTATTTGTAAAGATATTGCAGACTGAATTATTAAAGACTAAATTTTCAGAAACTAAATCAGCCCCCAAAAGCAAGATGATCTTTATTGCAGGTTTCAGATCAGAGGCATAATG